AATGTAATGACAGTACTATCAATTAGTAAATAAAGTCTCGCATTTTATGCTTATTCGCAGTAAAAAAAAAAAAAAAATAAATTATCTATTTACTATTAAATTTTTTTTATAGAAAAGTAATATAAAATAATATATTTCAATTAATTTTTTTAAGTTAACTTTTATTTATTAGAATTTGTTAATCTAATTTTTTAATATAATCATATACAGTATATTTTTTGAATTCTTGGCATCAAAATAAGTTATTCTGATAATAGATCCAAGTAAGAAGAAAGATATATGCAGTATACAAATTAATTACAAATTATGGACATGAACAAAGGGATAATAGCTAATCAATTGAATAGAATCATTATAAATTACTTATTATTTTCATCAAATCATCACATTTGCTTTTATGTCATAGATTTGCATATTATACAATTGATTAATTAAACATACCTCGTATCTTTTCAAAATTATATGCTGTATATTAAACTTTGGCTGATTCTTATTGATCAAGTACGTGTATTAATGGATAGATGACTTACCGTAGCAAATTTTTTTTTGTTCAATTGCTATTATTATATACCATATACAGTATGTGGTCTAATATTCATGGACCTTGATGCAATTTTTAATTTTTAAATACCCAGCATCGTGATTCAAGTGGTAAACTATTTTCGTATTTTTGGGAAATTATTTTTGATCGATCAAATAACAAATTTCACCAATATAAGCAAACTATCTTTAGATGAGTACGCATGAATTATTTTGATGGTTAGTAAAAAAAGGAGTTATTACAAATAGGCATTTGCGTATGGTGCATGTGTGTATACGCTACACACCTATGTAAATATTAAGGATAACGAAATCAGGTTGAAAACCACACGCATGATGTGTTTACGTAAGATATTGCCTTAAAACCGTTGGATGATCACCTTGCATTAAGTGAGATTCTAGAATATTACCATGGAGGTAACAACATTTTATTAGTCGGTAATGTTTTCCTATGAGAAAAAAAAATTTTTTTTGGTCATATGATTTTTCAGAACATGCAAATTGCACGTGGGCCATTGCCACGAAAAAACGTGGAAACCTGTTGGGAAAGAAAAAAGAAAAAAAAAAAAATTTTTTTTTCGCACACTAAAAAAAAAAAAAAGAAACAATAACCAATATCTGAATAGGTGAAAGGTTTTATTGTGAATAGAAAGGTACTACACATCCATTCAACGTTATACATCATTCTTAGTAAGAATTTTTTATTGTTATCTGGAATTAAAGTGTGATACAAAAAAGTGAAAATCGATTTTATCATTTGGAACTTGATAAGGATAGATTAAATTAGAGTTTATTAGATGAGAGTTCGCAGAAAGTTAAAGATGTGACGGTTGCATATAATCTATTCCACTACGTAATGTGGGTTTAGTACGATTAGGATTAGGAATTATTTGGGTTTGACGGGATGGTCACGTTTCTGTTTAGAAAACCAAATGTACGACGTGTAGGTGTAGTACGATAAAAGTATTCGTTCACGTCACGTTTACAACACATGGTTTCTCTTTTGGATGCTACAAAGATATATATCCCTTCGATTCACCATCACATTTGATGTCCTTCAGAATTTATTTATCTCTTTATGGATTCTTTCCACTAAATAAACAAAACGGCAGTAAATGCCAATTACATAAAACAAAAATTATTTGTTAAAACGTCTTCAGTTCTTATATTGTTCTGACGCATTTATCGTTTCTATTTTGGAGATTGCAATAAAGATCAACCACCTCAATTGATTCAACCTCCCAATTAAGGTAAATTAAAGTAATATATCGCGGAATACACAGTGGTTAGTTGAGTAGTATGAGATATGAACAAAACCTTTTATTTTATTTTTTGATGCGGCGAAATTTGTAACATACGTAGGCATTTTTTCTTCTAAAATGATAACCTGGTGGTTGATTGGTCCTTAAATAGGATGATTATTTTGAGTAAGGTAACAACACATTGATTTAATTAACTTAATTTTACCTTCCATGACGTATTACGTAATATTAATATGTCATGCATTGAAAGGGAGGTGAAGGTAATGGTTTTACTTGATTATGTCTCACTGGACTAGGGACGTGATGTCGTTAGAGACGGTCGATTACCGAATGTGCATTATGATTCACTTACATTTTGACAAAGACGTGAAGGGTTAGAGAGAGTTTCTCGTGCACATTGTTTCGGACGAGGTTTATCATTCATTCATTCATTCATTCATTCGTTCGTTCGTTAATTCGTTAATTCGATCGCTCGTTCAAACATATTCATTAGTAATAATGAAATTGTGTTTAACCTGATCACCTGCATTCTAGGTAAAACGCATTGATTCTTTACATTCTGTGCTTCGCTCATGGTTTTAGTGATTTTGGCTATGGAAGCTGTATCGGATGGTGTAACCATCAAGGTTTCAACTATAGTAATATGACTGTGAATAGATGGACAAAGAAGAGAAGATTGATAGAGGACAAATGATCTAACATTCTAATATTATTTACGTTTGATCGATTCTGTGCATATTCTCAGACATGATTGATCGATTGATGGAATTGGACACCGACGTTGACGAGCACTTGCGCGATGGATGGGACGTTGTGAGTGCATGCAGAGGAGTCACGATCATTGCACAACTTTCAACATTTGAATAAATAAGAATACGATGTAACGAATTCGATGCGGATATGTTCACTATGTTTGATTGTTGAGCACAAAGAAGAAAGTTTGAATTCTTTCCTAGTCCGCGCAAACAAAGAGAGAATCTTCGATGCGGATTCCTCACATCGTTATCACACATTCATGATCTAAATTAGGTAGATTAACATACATACATTTAAGGAGCTGCAATTTAAATTAAATTTATACGCACCGTACGACGGGTGTACAATTATTGATCACGAATATTATGCGTGTTATGGATATATGAATTTGATTCGCCCAACAAAATAACGGCACGGCCTTCGACATTCATTGACGAGACATTAGATAGACACCTTAAAAGGTTTAAATGATTTATAATTATGGAAAAAAGTATTCAAGCACATGAACATAGGCGAAGAAAGAAAAAAAAAATTGAAAAAAATTTTTTTTTTTTTTTTTTTTCGTTGAATTTAGTCTTACACCTGTCTAAATTTATGACTCGCATGACCAATGTTTACTTGTAATGGATGCATAGTCATATTGTGCAAACGTATTTATTTTTTAACTGAGACTATTAATTTTCTTGATAGGTGAGTTCATGACAATTGATAGAAGTGATTTTAATCTAAAATAGGTGATAATTGCACTTTTAAAAAATAACAATAGTAAATGGAATTCGAAATCTGTTAGCGCCAATTCTTTTTAAACGATGCCTTTTATGCCTCTTTCCTTTTTTCATTATCGTCATTAATAAATAAAGCTGCATGAATTAATGAAACTCAAATTGGCCGAGACCTTGAATGTGTGCGAGTATTGCTTGTAACGAGCGCGCGACTCCTTTACATATTTTATTTGTTTTTCCGTCTCCCATTGGAAAAAAGATGATAAGATGATAAGAATAACAAACGAATCTTCTCTCACATCACGCAGCCGCACATAAACAATACTAAATACAAATGGGCAGAAGAGATTAGGGAGTTCCGGGATGCTATTTAAAAAAAGGAGTTATTTGTTTATTCAAGGAGTTGATGTGTATTGATCAAATGGATCGGATTGACCCAGTATTTACTTGTCAGACGGCAATATGGAAGGGTGGATGGTTCGGCTTTTGCTCAGAGATTGTCGAAATAACGTGGTCGTCGGAAATAATATCGTGCCATACCTTTTTTATTTAGCTACATACTGTACGTATAATACGCATGTATGTGCGTATGTACGTACCCTTCATATTTTCTCTTTCTTATTGCTGTTACCATGTACAACTCGTTTGCCTGCGTACGTACACACCAAAAAAACTTACGATACATCCGCTTCCCGCTCACCGAATCCGGCTCACGTGTGTGATGTTCATGGTGACACGCTGAAACCTCTTCTCATCCGCATGCTCTCCTCTTCTTCTTTTTCGTTGTTACATATTAATAACACTAGACGAGTATTTCCTGATTCTTCGATTAATTAAATTTTTTCCTTAAATGTTTTTTTGTCTTAGGACCTGGAATCGGATCGTCGATGACTCCTGTTTTTCGTTAGGATGGCTCTTGACATCGCCGACACTCCCGATCTTTCACACCGGTCGCTTGCTCTTATCGATTCCTTCCCTCCAAATTTTCCCCCGGTGACCCAGAGCCGCTAATCTTTTTCTCCCATTAAAATTCCCTTCGGAATTTACGATTGTATCAGAAACCTTTTATTTTATTTATTTATATTTATTTATTTACTTATCATTTACGTGCGCACCTAATTAATTAATTTAAATCTGAGAGGTTACGTCCTATTATATTGTAATTGCGCATCGAAAAATAAGAGGAAAAAAAAATTTTTTTTTTTTTTTTTTTTATTGACGTTACTACTGTTGATATTTGCGCGCACACACATCCACAATATACGGAAGTACGTTAAACATATATATTATTATTTTTTTTTTTATTCTATTTTATTTATTTACTATCACACATCACAGGCAGAAGGTGGTAGCCTTATATGTACATATCAAATAACACATATAGATTGCTATTATATAAATAATAATAATTATTATTATGTGTATAATGTGTTTTATACATTTAAGTGCAGTACATCAAAAAAAAAAAATTTTTTTTTCTTTTACACCTACGTAACCTCTCGGTTATACTAGTTCCATATGGAGACTCGAAGTGTCCAGAAGAATATATATATATATTGCTGTTGCTATTGAGTACCATAAATACCGACCGAATTCTTTTTCGTCGTGAACCCTTCATGAGTCTCTCTCGTCTCATGCCTTTCATCAGTTGATTCTTAACGCTTCCTAATTCTGCTTGTTTTGACGCTTCTTATTGTATACAGATACATAATTTTATTGCATACATAGCCTAGTCCACATACATATACACTTATCACCACATACAGTAACTTTATATATTTAAAATTGTCCTTACAACACATGTATTATAAATAGTTCGTTTTTCAGCGCACCTTTTTTTTTTTTTTCCTTAACGGCTCGGCGTAGACTGTTTATATATACTGTATATTTATACATATATTATATCTTTTTTTTTTTTTTTTTCCTCTTTGAAAGAAACTTTACGCTTTTTGCTTCACACACTTGTCTCTTGGAGATTCTTTTGCTGAATTATAATAAAATAACCAATAATAATCAATATCTATTATACGAGATAAATGATCATGGATTCACCGACGGGAATTACACCTAGCATCGTTGCCCCTCACAAACCGGTGGACATTCACGTTCCTCATCCGTCATCGGTTCTTCGCTACTCCAACACCACCAGCACCACTTCACATCCTCTGAAATCTTCTCTATCGTTTTCTCTGAATCAGGGTCCGTATCACGGTCTCCCGTTATTCACCCATCCGTCGCATCTCTTGTTAAACTCATCGTCGGATGAAAGCGATACCGATGAGGAAGAGGATGTGTGTCTGGACGACAGCGACGACCAAATTGACGCGAGCGATGACGGCTCGGACACGGAGGTGGACTACGTGTATTCCCCATTCGGTCGTCCTCCTTCGAGATTAGGTCATCGCGTCTCACCCACCACGAAGAAGCAACTTTCAAACAACAGACGTAACAAGTCTCACATCTCAATAGAAAGGTTAAAAGTTGATAACTCATTCTTAAAGAATCAAAACGCTAAACTTTTATTAGAAATCGAACACTCTAGATCAACCATTCAGGCATTGAGAAATATTGTCAACCAGAAAGATCTGGATTTACAAAATGTCCGCAACGAAAATAGATTCTTAGAAGCCTTAATACGGAGCAAACATGCCAAGGATGGTAGCATTATAGTGAGAAGCGGTGGTGACGGTGCGGTGAATGGATCGGACGACAAGACGAAGGAGCCGACACGGAGCAACAAGGAATCATCGTCGGCTCTGAAATGTCAACAGAAACAACCAACGAAATCCATTCCCGAAAGCCCACAGCCGTCATCGTCCAAACTTTCGGCCACCATGACAATAGAAAATCCATCACTGCTTCAACACTCCCCGTCAACTGTCGACTCTCCGAAACCACCCCTGCCCCCGCTTTCGCCTAAGCGAAAGAAGCAGAGACGTTGGTCAATGGATTTTGGACCTCAGAATCCTCTGACGACCGACGAATCGTCGGACGACCAGGACGCTGACACATCGGCGTCCTCGCGTCGTCATCCGGCTTCATCTACCTCCTCGTCAACGATCTATACCAATGATCGACGCTCCACGTCCTCGTCTCGCAGCGTACCTCGACTAATTAAGCGCAAGACAGGCGACATCATCCAATCGCTGGCATCATGTCGTCCCACTAGCACCAAGAATGGTTACGATTACTCACCATCTTGTTCGCCGACGTTGGTCAGGAGCGACACGAGCGACGACGAATACGAGGACAACCGAGAGGAGGAAGTGGAATGCGAGGATATCGACGAGAAGTCGCAAAAGCAACGAAGGTTGGGACATCGCTTGTTCGGAAAGATATTTTCCTCGTCCTCATCGTCCTCGACAACGGCGGCTGCCGCACGTGGACCGTTAAGTCGCTAACATTCATTTTTGTCGACGGACGGCGGAAGGACGAACGAACAATCGTCGTTCAATTATGGTTTCGGAATTAATCCGCGAAAATAGAATTCGAATTTCATTCCATTTCACTTCATTTCATTTCATTTTTTTCCTAAAAAAATTATTTATTTTATTTGTGTAAATATTTGTTTGTCTGGATAAAGAACAATCAGCGATTGTTACCAAACATTTGTTTGATTACAAAAAAAAATTTTTTGACGACACGACGATACGATTGACGCTAACAAATGAACGCACGCACACAAGTGTCGAAATGACGAACGAAACGAACGAACGAACGAATCCATCAATCAATCAGTCGATAAAGATTTTCCACTATCAATCAACTCATTTCTCTCCTAATCAAGTAAGTATTCAAATAATTTGTTTATCGAAAATGTAAATATACATAGTATGCACATTAGAGATGTAGATATTTTAGATATCATGCGTCACAATCAAATTCGCTCGTTCAACGGGATGCTAATCATTTATGACCGCATATTCCCAAACAATAGCATTTCCTTTCTCCAACATTATATCTTTTTTTCATTATTATTAAAAAAAGATGTTATGAAAGAACTCCATATGGATTTTTGGAAGTACACCTTAGCCATATCGGTCCACCCGAAAGATACCAATATGCGCAGAAGTAATAAGTTGAATGAACACTTTAATGGACACTTTAATGAACTACTCCCCAATAACATAATGAATGAATGGACTAACTGCCATACAATCAAATAAGTGACGCAAACTCCATATACACAATAAGTAGCATCGCCGATATCACCTTTTTCACTATTCTTTATAATAATAATTGTCTTGTTTCCTTATTTCGACAATGGGAGCCGAACTTTTCCTCTTGTATTCTTGTCGAACCGAAGGTGTAACCCTTGGGCAGAAGGAAAGGAAATTGCCGGATAAATTTCTTCGCCAAACGCTAAACTCCAAGCATCCCATGGGGCAACCTATTTTTAATTTCCACCTTAGGCCACTTTAAGTGAACCCCAACACTTTTCCATTATTATGTTACTATGTTCGTTTTACACATCCGAACTTTGATAATCAATAATAATAGTAATTTTATTTAATTTTTTTAATATTACACACCACGACTTGTATTACGGTATATGATTTCTTTAATGACTCATAATGAGAATGTTTTCATCACCCAAGAACATTAGGATAATTATCAAAAAAAAAAAAAACAAAAAAAAAACTTTCCTGTAGTTACTTTTCTTTATTGTAGGATATTTCTCTTCTTTTCTCATCAGTGTATATACATATGTAGATATTATTAATTCTTTTTTCTTATACACCTCGGACTTTATTTTTTTTTCTGTTGATATTCCCTTTTGGTTTCGCTGTTAGATATATATATGTGTACCCTTTCATTCTGTCTCCTGTCATTATTTTATTTATTCTATCTTAGACTCTGTGGGTATTGGTTTTCTTTTCTTTCTTTGTGGTTTTTTTTTTTGGTTTTCTTTTTGGGTTTTTTTTTTGTTTCGTTGGTATTTTAGGTTATTTTGGTTTCTGGTTAATCGATATCTCTAGTGAATTTTTTTTTTTTCTTTCTTTTGCCTGATGGTTTGGTTAATTTAGTTTAGAGTAAAATCACTCAATCATAATTACATCAATGCATCTCAAAGAAAATTTATTTAAAGAATAAAGTTTTTTTTTTTTCGGACGCTTTGTTCGCCGAAAAAAAAATAAAAAATACACATCACATGAGCCCATGTCAAACAAATAAGAAGTGATCGCTTCTCGCAACCGGAATTCTCACAATAATAATCGTTGGTTGCGTAATGTGTGACCATGTGTGCGAGCGTGGCAAAGAGATTTATCACTTGACAAGAAACGAATCCCTTCTTTAAAGTCAATGTGGCAAGAAGGTAATTATATATATATATATCAAATTTAAACATTTACGGATTTGATGGAATGTTCTTTGTTCCCGTTTGAGAAAGCCTTTCCCCGGCACGCCGTTCGCCTCTTCTTGTCATGTCCCACCGATACTTGAAACATGTGGCGAAATGTTTGGCTCCAATTTGGGAAATCAGCCCGCCGGCATTGACTTTGGACGTGAGATTTCAAATTAGGTGAAATTGCTTTTTTTTTTTTTGTTTTTTTTTTCGGAGATTTGTGGGGTAAGACATCGAGGGTGAGATGATTTCGGGCTAAATGCTAACTAACAACAACGGGAAAGTTGACACGCATTCGCTGTGGAGATTCGTGCATTGAAAAATAGGTGTTTAGGGCAAATACAATGTTCTTTTGTTTTTATTTGTTTTTGTTTTAATTTCGGTCTCCTCGGACGGGTCAACTAACATCGTAAAATGAAAAACAACACCGACGTCAAAAAATTATGTCAGGCGTGCAGAGAGTGTATTCTGTGGCTGATTGTCAATTGAACGGCATGACCGTTTCTGTTCTTAACGCGCAGATATTCGGCGAGCCATGATTTTCCACCAATACAAAGGGGATCAACCCGTTGGCAGAATGTAAACAATCAACAAATGAACCATTTTAATTAAGACTAATCCAGATCATATTTTCGTGACGACAACGGATCTCATTCGTGAGATTTTTCTTTTTTTTCCTTTCGACAATCCAAATTCAGCTTAAATGCATGCACGTCGAAGACTGTTTTTTGGGGGCATGGTCGGATTTTTGGGAACGTGATTTTGCTGTTTGATTACGTAGTTGAGAGCAAAAAAGAGGAAGAGGATTTGAAAAGGAAACGGAGATTATAATGAAATGCAAAACGAGTGCACGACGTTCGTTATTTGGGATTCACATGGATGTTTATAAGCTGCGTCGTACGTTAGTGTATGCATTCATGTATATGCATGAGTTTTCGAATCTCACATTAATTAGGGTTTTAATATCTGTGATTTATGGATTATTGGAAACATGTGGATTTCACCTATAACCTATAACTCTATCCGGAGCTAGGTTACCGTGTTTTTTTCAGATCCAAATGTTTTGTGGAGAATTCCACTCCTCCTTGATGATCTATTTGTTACAGAAAGAAAAAAACAAAGACAAAGAATTATCAATCGAAATCATCTCATCAATGATGGGTGGGTAAAGGTGCGACCGACCTACCTACCCGCTTACCTATCCGGCTACCTGTCACCCATGTACGTACAGTACGTAAAATGCGTGCGCGCAGTCAGATTCACAAATGACGAGTTGTTTGTCCACGACATTGCATTTCATATATCACCCATTATGCGGAAACCTATCAACCTGTTTCTCAACAGGATCCTTGCCTCATAAAGGTTCTCTGAGTGTTCGCCTATTGTCTCTGGCCAATCTTAGCAGCGATTTTGATGGTCAGCGTGGCCTGTCTGATGAAAGTTGACAAATTCCTATTGTCTCTGGCTCAAACTTTAGCACCAAAAAGGTCGGCAAATTATAAGGTGTTACATTTGACCAACGGAGATGAACAAAAAAAATATGCCTATTGTCCTGATGAATTTTTTTTTATAATAATAATGAGTTTTTGATTAGTGGAATGTTGCGATGGATTTACATATATGGAAAGAATTTTGTAAATAAAGGTGCATGATAGGTGTTGCACATTGTTGTTAAGTGTACGCAAATGGATTCTAGGAAATGTTTCTTAATATAATGTGAACCGATGTTCAATTGTTTTTTTTTCTTGTGTGTGTACGAGTGAAAGGGTGACTAAGAATTAATACTAAATCTAATTTTCATATCATGAGAATTTGGATAATTAGGATGGCATGACCTATTGTGTCAACCCGAGTTCATTGGCCTGTCCAATGTACTCGTGGTACCTATGTTTTGAAGTTGTGATTTATCCAGAAATTATTAATACTTATTTGTTTCTTTCTTATAATTTTTTTTCTGTTGTTTATGTTTATGTATTATTATTAATCTCTTTTTTTTTTTTCTTCTTTTTTTTTTTTTTGCAATGATGATGAAATCGCCTCTTTAAAACTGGGCGAATGATGCCTTTTTTGGTACAATTAACCCCCAATTCTGAAGGTAAATTAATCGGATCAAGTCACCTTTTGTTTAACTGGATTGGTCTTAGTATGCAAGTTTGCATGGAGTCGAGATTCTTGTTTCCATCGTCGGTTGATCTCTGCTGGAATTTTGTGAAATAAATAAATAAATAAATGAATGAATGAATGAAAATAAATAAATAAATCAATGAGTAAATAAATAAAAAAAATTAAAATGATAATTAAATGATGATAAAATAAATAATCAGAAATCCGAATCTGTCCTTTGAATTCACCTGATGGTGCAGTTGCGTGATTATGTCGATTCACCTCCATTGGCTTTGCATCAGGTAAACATGGAATCGTCTTCTTTGAGTCCACATTCAGTGCTCACACAATAGATCGAATCAAGCTTGTGTCTCATAGAACTATTAGCCGGCGCCACCTTTATTATCTTCTTTTTGGTGTTGATCTTTTTTTTTTTTCGCTTGATGTTTCTCCACGTCAGAGTGGCAATGGTGACATCTGCCTGCCACGTACGTTTTACTGTACTGGACATGTCCGCGAAGAAAGCTCACGAAAGTTTATCACAGGCATTCTCATAGAACCCGAGATCATCACCACTAAATATTTACGTATTACATGTAATCAAGCAATCAAAAAACGGGCATAAAGTGATTTTCAGAAACGATTGTTCTTTTTGATCCAGCGCGTATCTATATTTATGTTGGCGTTGGAGGATGACATGACAAAAAAAAAAAAAAACAAACTTTAATTGCTCTGTATTCTTTTGTAACGAGATTTTTTTTATTGATCATTTCCTTAAATTCTTCGAGTTTTTGTTCCTGCACTCTTGATAGTTCTCACGCGCAAATATACCAACTTGCTGCGCCACGAGAATCCCTACAAATGTCGATCCAAAAAAAACAAACCATTATTCGCTCAAGTCGTTGGGATTTCTGTGCGTCCATGATGAGAAGCTTTGCGTTTCAAATTCCTTTTTTCCTATTATCAGAACGAACCATCGTTAATTAGCATGAATCAATGAGATGAATTCTGTCTCCCCTTGAATTGCTTAAATTACTTTATTGGAAATTAGAATGCATTAATTAGCTCTGATTACTTTCCTTCACACAATTGTGTGCTATTTCAAAGTTCCATTAGAGGTCGACTAAATTAGCTCCGAAATTAACCAATAATATGACGTACGGTTAATTTTGTGTTACGACATTTAGAATTTTAGAACTAGGCCACCATGTGAAAGGAAGGATCAACCATCCCGCGCGCGTAATGTACAGTATTTCATTTGTTCGCATAAAGCTTCCCGAAATATGCTATCAAATCATGTGATTTCACCAAATATGCGATTTCGTTCTCAAGATTGACTGACAGTCACAAATGTCCGTTTTTTTATTAGAAGGGAACGACCTTCTCTCTTTCTTCAAACCTTTCTTCGGGTCTCGTTCATCACCGCCGCCATTGGCCAAGCATCCAAGGCTGCTACTGTTTCCAATGGGTACAGGTTTGAACAACTCAGGGTAGTCTCGGTGCCATATGTCGCCAGAAAGTAATTCAATACTGATTCTAGAAATCAAAAAGCATAGCCAAGGAATTGAGTTGGTTACACGCGAGCCACACCATGTCCCGTGGGTGCACAAGAATATTATGTGCTGCATGCGATTAATGCATTTAGACGGTGTGTGCCATTTTGGATTACATACACACACTCATCATTTCCTGTGGATTTTTCTTACAAAGATCAATTATATGACATGACTAAATATGGTCCTCTGTATCATGATCATTTCGTAAATTTGCCTATTCCATAAGTAGAATTGAAAACTCGAATCTCATGATTCTACGGGAGGATGGTCGCGCCATGGCTTTGTATCCGTGGAGCAAGTTTGTAAGTGCATTACAGGGAGAGAGGGAAGTGCGGGTGGGATGGTTGAGCAGGAGATCGCGATGATGATGATGGGTGTAAGAGAAGCGTGACATCACCAACCGCATCGCAATCGCCCTCTTTGTTATCCTAAAATGGAAAACAATAACCATTCTTCCTTTTCACGAAAGCGTGTGCGACTTTGTGTGACCCAATCTTTTTATTTCAATTCGTTAAGATTTTCTCTATCATCCTATCAAAAGATCCCAAGTTCGATTAGAAATTGGTCTTGGGGATATACTTTGGATAAATGATTAACCATCTATTTACTGTAACTATTGATTCGACTATTACATCCCGCATCTTTGAATTAACCAAACTTTAACTCAATGTTTTAAATTATCGTTACTCTCTTGATTTACAAAAAAATATATATTATTGGCGTGAAACCAATTATAATTAGAAGAGACCGAATCGATTAAACGAAGCATAAGAGATATTGCTTGTGATGGATAGATGGATAAAAAGATAACGCAAGATTTTTAAATTAACGAACCATAGTATTTATTAAAAAAAGATTTGTTTAATTTCCATACAACATGCTAAGCAAATTCCTTTTACGGTAAATATTAAAAATTTTTGAAAACAGATAAATTTTAAACTAGGAATGGATAAGAAAAATTGATTGGCTTATAAAATTTACAATACTCATAAAGGAGTAAACACAAAATTAATAAAAGTTTGTTGTTAGTAATTCTTAAAAAAAATTTAAATATGTAATAATGATACAGTATGTACCATATACGGTATTTAATGATAATAATAAATTAAATAATAAGTTAAAAAATGGTTTCGTCAAATTTAGTTTAAATTACATATAAACAATTATTGTCAACAAATTTATTTCAAAATCATAAACAATATATAAATTATTTAAATAATTAATGATATAAAACGATATATCAAATTAAAAATTGATAAATCATCAATACTTCAATATTAATATTACAAATCCAATTTCTAGTAATAGTAACAGATTATAAACCTATTTCAATAAACCAATCATTAATTAACTGTATATTATATATAATATAAAAATTTTATATCCAATAATTTCAGTTCATATTTAATCAATTTAATCTAGATTTAATATAAAGTTCAATATAATAAATTATTAATTATTATTAAAGTATTAAATATATTATAAATTATTTATTTATCAATCTGGATTTAAAATAAAATTTTGTTTAAATTAAAAACAATATATAAAATTAATATGTATTAATTATTTAATTACTAAATATATATATAGTGGCATCTGTCTATTTGCATATTGTTTATTTGCATATTCTAACTAAAAAATATATAAATGCATATTTCTTGCTCAGTTCTAACTTATAGAACTCTTATAAAAATCTGATATACAGTATATATGCATAACCTGTCTAAATGCATATTTTTATAAAATTTCACTATGGTTTCAACTTTATGCAAATAGACAGATGCCACTATAATATAAAAACCATAATTAAAATTAATTACTTAAAAAAATTTTTTTGAAAAAGTAAATGGTTATTATGCTTTATTTTATTATTATAATTTTAGACTTGTGAATTACAAGATTTATAATTTTAATTATATAACATATATTTCTCTTTATTAAAAAAAATTAAATGCAAGTAAGTTGGGTAATAGTGGTTAGCGTAGCTAGTCTTATAGTAATATAGGCACTAGGCAGTGTTAATCTGCAGATTAAT